TCACTCTGAGACAGGATATTTCTAATTTTAGAGATGTTGCGCAAATGGAAGAATGCAGTCTTACATATTTGATTTACATTTATATTTATTTTGATATTACAGATTTTCAATCTAGTTAATTTATAGGTTGCTGTTTAGTCCTTATTTCTTAGTTGTTTCTGTCATCTCCCCCTGTACTCAGTCTCCCTGGTTCCTGCGTCTACGTGTCATGTTTCTTGTCTATGCGGTTAAGTTCATGTGATGTTTTATCTCCATGTCTATGTCTCCGTGTTTCCTGTTTTATTTTGGAAGAGTCTGGTGTTCTTTGTTCATTGTAGTTAGTGTTACTTTCCTCTGTATTGTCATTATGTTTCATTCTAGTCAGCTGTGTTCTCATGTGTCTCCACTTCCCCTGATCACCTCATGTGTGTATTTAAGTCCTCAGTCTTCCTTTGTTCGTCGTCGCGTCGTCTGTGTACCTCCCCTCTGGTCAAGTTAAGTGTTTTTCAGGATTCTGTGCAGTTCATGTTTGCCATTTGGATTATGTTGTTTTTCATGCAGCTGCACGATGAGGTTCCGTGCAGGTCATGTTCATGTCTGTTTTTGTCACGCCATTTGGTTCACAGTTTCCATGCATCTGCACAGCATTCTGTTCACGGTGGTCATAGTTATTCCTTTCAGTCAGGTTAGTGTTTTTCCAGTTTAGGTTCTTGGTTAGTTGCAGTCTCTGTCCCTGTTATGTTTTGTCTACTTCCTTCTGCATCAGCCCAAATAAAGGCTCGCTTTCAGTTTAAGTTCACTCCCGTCTTTTCACCTGTGTTCGTGCCTTGGTCCACCACACACACTCTCCACACGGTCTGCCCCCGCCGGCCGTGACAGAAGCCCTACATTAAGGCGCCAAACCGTTTTCCTTGGAAGTGAGTCCAACTGAATTGTCAGAAAAATCGCGTTATGATCTGAGACATCCGCTACCCCAATTCTACAGTCTAACACTCTGTGACATTCTTCCTTTTGCATTCTTGTTTAATTTTTGCTAATACTCTGGCTCTTTTGATTGGATTTCCCAGGCCGTTAAGCAACATCAATTCCAGACACTGTGACATAGTATACTGTTGTGAAAATAAAATGATCCTCCACCACTGACCTCAAAAACAAACAAAACCTAAACCAAAACATGGTAGAACAAATAGATGAACAATTAAAGAGAACTGTAGAATTCAAAACTCGAACAACATTGCAATATGACTCCCAATATGAGGTAAATGACACACCCCCACACAATGATGAGAGAGAGAGCCTCACCAGAAGTGAGGTCCCTCTCTTAGAATCAGTGAGAACCCCGATCTGAGTCACACTCATCCTATCTTAAATTGATGGCTACCTCAAGGTAGAGCGATTATAAACAACTTGAACCATGAAGAACATATTAATTATTCAAGAGAGCCAGATACATATTTGGAGTGATTACGTTATCTGCCCCCACACTGAAATAGTTTCTATAAAGTCAAACCCTTCTCTAAAGTCAAGTTGTTCCCTTGTAGTTTGTCGCGCACTCTCTGAATGGCTCCGTTGTTGCTTCTCCGGGTCGCGGGTTGCCATGGTGACGCTTGCTCCAGTTGCTCCAGTAGAGACGTAGGGTCAAATCCTCCTCTTTCGTGTGGCTCCTCCACCGTAAAACCTCTCCGCTGCATCTCTCGTACCGCCTCCGCCGGACTGTGGTACACCTGAGGGCCTGTGTCCCAGTGGATCCGGAGTTTTGTAAATGGAGATTGGAATCGTATGCCCTTTTGTTTAAGTGCGCTTTTCACTTCTCTATGTGCACAGCGCTGTTGTACTACCGTAGCAGGAAAGTCATGGTCGAAACCGATGGGTTTGTCTTTGACGAGGATCTTCTTCTGCCATGCGTTTCTGAGGACAGTTTCCTTTGTTTTGAACTGAAGAAAACAGACGACAATGGAACGGGGAGCAGCATCAGCACCTGGCTTAGGACCGAGGGATCGGTGAGCCTGTTGTATTCGTGGGTCAGTGCCATCAGCCATTAGCCTCCTTCTTCTGATCACATTTTCAACAAAGCTTATTACAGAGCTGCCCTCTTCTCCTTCGGGGACTCCGTAGATTCGCAGGTTATTTCTTCTTGATCTAGACTAAAGGTCTTCTAGCCTTTCGGTTAGTTTCCTCTGCTCCATTAGCGATTGTCTCAGCGTGTCGTAGGCCACCGCTGACCAGCTTTCAAGCCCCGCCACTCGTGTTTCGGCTTCCTCAAGTGTCTCGTCGTATTCTTGGACCGCTAGCTTATTAGCTGTTGGCTTGTATCTTCTTTGAATCTCTTCAGGTTGTCTTTCAACTCACGCCTGAAGACTTCTTTGAATGCGTTGAAGTCAACTTTCATCTTCGTCCGGAGGTCAAAGATTTGTTGGCTGATATTTTATATGACCTCTTGCAAAGAATCGAGATTGGCCCCCTCGCCATTTTCTTCATCTGAGTTATCCATATCAGCGTGCGTACCTTCTCGTTCTTCTGGAAAATACTGTTCAGTTGGTTCATGTATCTTCCTGTGCTTTTTCTTTGCCTTCATTAACCCCCCCCCCGGCATTGTTTTAAACATAGAAGTAGTCAGAAAACTTGAAATTAAGGTGGAATTCGCTCGACCCTGTGGAGCTCAGAAATTACGCAGCCATTCTGCTCGCTGCCAACCGGAAGTCCCCTATTTTTATTACTTTGAATTATCCAAATTAATCAGGGAGTGGACTGTGGACAATTTTCATGTTGGCAACCACAGCAAACACCAGAGCACTCAAAAACCAAAAACTCTGAATTTTCAGCATGCTGTCACAATGCTTTATCAAGGTTCTTGCCCTGTTTGTAACCCATGCGAGCACACTACAACTGTAGTTTCCTCTATTTCACAGGACATTCTCTGCTGATGGCAGTGATGGAGAACGCAACGTGGCCACATCCCTCATACCTCCCACATTATCTCCTCCGTGGTGACCCTTTCGCCTCAAGACTCTCCAGGGAGGCGGACGTTGTTGCAGCTCTTTACGTCTGTATCATAGGTGAGTCTTTTGTTAAGAAGAATCATCATGTTTGCATAAATGTCTGATTTTCTACCATTCTGCTCTATGTCCTACTTCTATTGGACGAGAAAACAGACTCAAGTTTGCTTTAACTAACTTTAACAAACATAAAAAGATGCAACATACAGTTTGATTTTCTTGTCCTGTACAACAAAATGTGGTCCAAAAGGTTAGGGTTTACTTTGGCTGACTCAGATGGAGGTGTACAATGGTCCCGTAGGGAAAATGGGAATTTCCATAACACTTGGACATGGTGTCAGTGTGACGTATATGATGAAAAATATTATGCTCTGCTGAACATAGTGTTGTAACTGAGACTACACAATGAAAACAATAAGTAAAAACTCTGAGGTCTGAGGCATGATCGTGATGACCTAAATCCTAACCCTAACTCAAACCCTCTACCTAAAAATCAGTAGTTTTTGGTTTTATGAAACTGGTCAAAATTATTGTTCTACCTGAGACACATAAAAAACTGTAGCATGAGGGTAGGGTTAGGGATAGGGTGATGCATCATACTTCATGGAGATTTCAATTACTGATGGAAACCATTATTCAACAGGAATAAACTCGGGGGAAATATCTATTTATAATTAAAACTGAATTACATTTACTGGGGGTACGGCATTATCAGAAGGAGCATGTGATTGGTGCATTAGGATGTCTCTAAGTTGTAAACACTGCTCTTACAGTTTGGCTTTTCACTTCAGGTTTCCTCATTTCAGTCACATTTATACACATGCAGGGAGTACAAAAGCCTTTGAGTGTCTCTACTTAAACCTACGGATGCTCCTTTTTGAGTTTGTTATATTGCATGAGTCATTATTGTAATGAAATGGTTGCCTCTGTGTCTATAAATTTGTGACATGTGAGAGGACCATTGGCACAACTATCCACTCTTATATGTGCTTGATTGCAGTATAACGATGAGTCGTCCCAGCTAGTAAATCTGCACTGTGTATTTTCTCCAGGTACACATATGAGAAATGAGTAGCCCAGCAACTGGAAAGTATGCAGACTGTAAATTGTATCATTTGCGTGTAATGTTAAAGGCTGGTCTCCTGGTCTTTTTTTTCCCAAAGAATGTTTTCTTAATGCGAAGATGAGTGACTGCAATTTCTTAAGCCCAACAGAATATCAGATTCCTGACTTTTTTCTGAGAAAATCAAAGGCCTTCTGGAGACGCTTCAAGCAGGCAGAAGTACAAAAAGTCATTGTTGAGATCACACTTGGTCACAGTAAAAGCTGTGAACTGACATACTGTTTGTCCCTTCGTTTTTTTAATTATGTAACAATGTTTTCGCAGAAGTACAAATTCAGGTTTGTAATGGAGGTCATTTGTGCTAAATAGGGTTCATTGTAAGCAGCAAACTAAAAGAATACATTTCAGACTTTGAGGTAAATGACGCAAGCAAATGAATTTTCTGAGAAAGCTGCTGCCCTTTGATTACCTTCAACATGTGATCCATTACCATGGAATCCTAACTTTTGAGTTATCTTCTGTAGTTTTGACTTTATTTAGCTGGACAATTTCATGAGTACATAATAATATGAACTGTATTTTCTTACCTATTTCCATCCTTATGGACTGGTGACAGTATGACAAAAATACGTAACATTTTTTTTTATCAAATCTCTGCTATAATTTTTGCTGCAGTATTCCCTAAATAAGAATACATAACATAAGTCAGACGTTCCCAGTTACAAGGAAAGTGTAAGGTAGGAAGACTTTAGGACTAACGTGTGCCCCTGTACTTTGCATTTGTTAAATGACCCATGTGTAGCTATTATGTTATTACCTTTTTACTGCTTTTTAAAAAAACTTGCTCAGCTTCTACCAGAGGCCTGAGAGTTTGAGAGTTCTGTGCAGTATCCTAGCTGTTCGAAGCACTGTTTTGGAGAACATTGCTTTGCAGGGGGTCTTGCTGGTCAAACAAAATGACTTTAGTTGAAAATAACAAATAACAAGAACACTACAACACTATTGTTTGTAGTGAAAACCATTTCACTAAAATTCACATTTTGAGTGAAATGAATGTTGTTGTAATGTCAAATTTTGCAATGGGAGTAAATTGGATATGATCTAATTAACAGGCCACCAAATTAAAATGTCAGCAGAAGAGTAGTTTAGTTGCTGATACACATTTTACACAATCTTACATATCACACACACTGACTCATTTAATGACATGTCATTAAGTCACAGGTCTGACAAAAAAAATGTAGTCAGCTTATTAGTGTGTGTTAAAATGGGTTGTCTGTAAACCTGAATATCACTGGCAGACAGTGTGAAATATATATATGGCAGGCATCCATGAAAGGGTCTCCAGCATGAAGGATTGGGCAGCACCAGGCCCCGACACGGCTACTGGTTGAAGACGCTAACTGCATCCCATGAGCGTCTGGCAGCACAAACGAACCAGGTGCTAGTCAATGAGAGACACCCAGAATGGCTAACTGAAGTCCTCCCCAAGGACCCCCAGAAGGGACTGGGCTCACCAACTACCGGCCAATAACCTGGCTCAGTACCGCATGGAAGCTCAGAGCAACTAAGATGAACAGGCACATGGCTCAATACATGAGTGGGGCACAGAAAGAAATAGCCCATAGCACAAGTCACCATCAAGTGTGGGATCTACCAAGGAGATGCGCGGTCCCCACTGGTGTTTTGCACAATTATTGACAAGACTTACTACAGATACCGACTACGGAATGGAGCAGTTGTCAGCCACCTCCAATACATAGATAACATTAAGCTGTATGTCAAGAGTGAATGACACATCGATTCACTGATCCACAGCACCACTCTATACACACTACACTTGGAATGTCATTTGGATGTTTGGATTGGAGAAGTGTAGTGGGTTGGTAACAAAGAGAGGGAAGTTAGTCACAACTGAGGGGATTGAAGGGCGGCTACAAGTACCTGGGGATCCTGCAGGCAAATGGGAACAACAAAGAGGTTGCTAGAAAAGCTGCAACCACTAAGTACACAGAAATTTCTCATCCGTGGGATAATGAGGGTTTATTCTATTCAGTCGCGAGGAGTCCAGCTTGAACGGTAAGAACCAGATCCAGACTATCAAACCTATGCCCTGCCCTGATCAATTACGATAATAAGCTGGCCAAAGGAGGTGATAGAAGCCACTGACATCAAGACCGGGAAGCTCCTGATACCACATGGAGGGTTTCACCCCAAGTCAAGCACCCAGATGCTGTATGCTAAGCGGAAGGAAGGGGGCATGGACTAGTCAGTGTCAGAACTATGGTCCAGGATGAGACACAGGATGAGAAACGAACATTGATGAGTACATCAGGAAAATAGCTCCATCCAACCTCGTGCTCAGTGCATCCGACCTCAGGCAGCAGAAACCCAAGAAAGAAGAGCGAGAGGAGGAACTATCATGGAAGGATAGGCCCCTGCACGGTATGTACCCCTGGGAGATAGAGGAAGTGGCTGACATCCAGAAATCCTGCCAGTGGCTGGACAGAATACTAACAAACTTCTATTGATGCAACATTGAGAGTATTCTGACTGGCTGCATCACCACCTGGTATGGCAGCTGTAATGCTCTGGACCGCAAAGCTCTAGAGAGGGTGGTGAGATCTGCCAGCCATGCAGGATCTCTATAGACGGTGCTGCATGAGGAAGACGCAGCGGATCCTCTCTGATCCCAGCCACAGACTTTTCACACTCCTGCTGTCTGGCAGGCGGTTCAGGAGTATTCAGACCCGCACTAGCAGACACAGAGACATTTTTTACCCACAAGCCATCAGGCTTTTGAACTGCTGACATTCTATACACACGATTACACACTCACTACAATTACAGGACTACACACTATCACTTAAACAAATGCCAATTAAATGCTCATTGCACAAGTTATGCACAACCTGTAAATACTCTTGCACAAACTGTAAATACCAACTTGTCTTAAATTCTCTAAATATTTAATACTTTTTTCTCTCTTTTTCTCTTTTATCATTATTATTATTATTATTATTATTATTAGTATCATCATTATCATCATCATCATCATCATCATCATTATTATTATTATTATTATTATTATTATTATTATTATTACTGCTATTTTCTGTTATTTTCTTCTTAATATAACTGCACACTTTCTTAGGGATGGGTATCGAAAACCGGTTCTTGTTGAGAACCGGTTCCCAGTGTTTCAATTCCTTGGAATTGTTTGCCATTTTTGCAAACGATTCCCTTATCGATTCCAGTCGCCCCGAATGACGTCACCACGTTGCGGAGCGTCATTTACCTGGCAGGAAACACAGCGCCTAAGCGGCTCAAACGCTCAAAAGTTTGGTTTTACTTTACGAGAACGGATGACAACAGGGCAACTTGCAATACTTGCAAAGTAGATATTTCATTTAAGGGAGGAAACACTACAAATATGCAAAAGCATTTGCTCACAAAACACACGATGACCTTAAATGAATGTCGTGTTTTTAATTCCGCTCCGGACTCGTGAATCTCAACCCAGCAGCAGCGGTAACGTTTGCACGTCCTCTCCCGTTAATGCGGCAGGTAAATAATCAACTAACAGTGCATATTATGTTAGCGCGATCTGCCTTATTACAAAACCTGCCATTACTGTGCATTTAGGTGACCATGATGAGAGAGACAGACAGAATCTGGCTCAGATGCTGGCAGTTCTCACTGCACAATGGGGTGTCACTGACCCTGTGACACCCCATTGAAGAGCTGTGGGCTATGAATCTCTTAAGATCTCACTGTTGGGTTTGTAAGGCCATGTTACTCCTAAATTTCTATCTTGTTCAAAGAGAAGATATAAAACAAAGTTCTAAGCTATTAGACCTTAGTGTTCTCCTTTTTTTAAAAAGAATCGATAAGAGAATCGATAAAGAATCGAATTGTTAAACAGAATCGAAAATGGAATCGGAATCGTGAAAATCTTATCAATACCCATCCCTACACTTTCTATATGCTTATGTAA